GGTCTGGTGCATAGGCCTCTTGTTTTAGGAGATTCTCAGGCTGAAGTTGTCAGAGCAGCAGTGGAAGAAGCAGAGGGGTATAGAGAAAGGGATAAATGCAGTAAACTGGAATGAGGTTACAGCTTTGTCTAGGAAGCTGTTATCTGCACTGATTTCTACAGGTCTGAAGAGGCATTTTACCACATTTTTGAAACAAGAAAAGAGAGGTGCTAGCCACAATAATTTTTAACAGATATAGATAGGCAGATTGTGGCAATATTCCCAATAGGTATAAGGAGACAGGTGGACACTGTGATTTTTCTGACAGGTTTGTTTCTCTGTACTTTTGTCTTTCAATTTCGTTACGGTCAGAATACGTTTGTTTAAGTCTTTTTTTGTTGTAGTTGTTGTTTGTTTTCAGGGGGGTGGGGGTAAACCATTCTAAAAAGCAGTGTTTACCTAAGTCAGCTTTATGCAATAAGCAACAAAAAAATGTCTCAATAATTATTAATTGAACTTATAGTAGACTCGAAACGAAACCTTTCTGTTTTGGGGATACACAGCACACAAGTGACGGGCATTTTTCTCGTACCAATGATAACCAGAAACTTGAAAAACTGACCAAGTTAATAGAGTTCTGATCGTGGGGATTTGCTTTCTTCTCGTGTTCAGTATGACAGCTACCTGGAGTACACCAGAAACCTGCCTCTGAACCCGTCTCCCGAGATCTTCGGCATGCACGCTAACGCCGATATCACCAAGGACCAGAAGGCTACTCAGCTTCTCTTTGACAACATCCTGCTCACACAGGTCGGTACTCACTACACACACAGCACACACTACACACATAACACAAACAGGTTGGTACACATGACGCATACAGCACACACACAGGTCGGTACTCACTACACACACAGCACACAAATAACACATAACACACACAGGTCAGTACACACTACACACAAATAGCACACACACACAGATCAGTACACACTACACAGACACAGCACACATAGGTTGGTACACACTACACACATAGAATACTTAGGTCAGTACACACTGGACACACAGTACAAACAGGTCAGCTTACACACACGTGCACACACACACACACACACACACACACACACACACACATATAAACACACACACACACACACACACACAGAGAGGCATACAAACACACACACATATATTATGTTCACAGATATGCAAATAGATACGAGTGTACACTCACACCTATACATTCAAACACTCAAAGACAAACACAATCTCTCTCTCTCTCTCTCTCTCTCTCTCTCTCTCTCTCTCTCTCTCTCTCTTTCTCTCTCTCTCTCTCCCTCTAACTCTCTCTCTCTCACTCACTCACACATACAGACACACACACACACACACACACACACACACACACACACACACACAAATACACTCGCACGAATACACACACTTGCTTTCACACACTCATCAAGACCTCGATCTCTCTTACACACATGCACAAGCTTATACAAAAACATGCGCTAAGAAATACAAGTGAACAAGAACATACTTATTATGTGTAGACGTGTACACATCCATTTACTTACACGCACACATAAACTTCCCACATTTAGTTACGCAAGATACTTTTTATCTCGTTTTTAGAAGTGAAAATAGTGTGTACTCTTTTAAACAATTTCTTGTAAAGTCAGTTGTCTTTATCGGCATTTTGATTGATATTATAGTTATAGAGTGTGGTGTGCATTTTTCGGCTAATACTAATTCGGCAATGAGTTGCATGGAATGTCTGTCCTTTAACATGTACTCTACTTACTTTCACACTAGATATGTTATATGATTCTTGACATTATGTTACGTTGTTATCTGCAGCAATGTATGTATTGAAGTCTGATACAGTTTCTTTGGGCTGAACTTTAAAAAAGAAAACGACTGGGCATAATGATTTTATGTAAAATAAATTATGCAACAAACTTTATTCCAGTGGACTGGGTCACTGCTTACAGCTACTCAACCTTGATAATGTTAATGTTTGTTGTTATTAGTATCTCCTGTTTTTGTTCTTTCTAAAGTGTCAGTGATGGGATTTCAGATGTTATCATCGAACTAGGACCAGATCTCTCAAATTTTTCTCAAGATTTTTTTTCTCTTTTCCTTCTGTTCATTTGGCTTTGATTAAAATGTTTGTGTAAAAGACAGCTGGGTTATTATTTTGCCGGACCCAGATTGACATTCCCTTGGGGAATAAGGTGTGCATAACGCTTTCCAAACTGACCTTTGAATCTTGGTGAGCCCATGATTGCTCAGAAGACTTAAGATAGAAGCTAAATTTTGAGTGAATCTTTAAGGCTGCTATGTGTTGAAACAATTTTAAGCGCATGCCCGTTTGTTGCTTCTAAACCATTGCTGAACTTTTTTGCATTACATTGGCATTTGAATACACTTTCTGCATGATGGCATTGGCATATCACCGCGAGCAGCCTTTCATGAACATTTTCTTCCACGGAAGACACTCTCTTCTTCGAGCGCTTTTACTTCATCAACAACGACTTTTACCATTTTGCATTTGTATTGCGTAGTGGGATTGCATTTTTTAGTTGTTGTTTTTTTTAAACCTCAACACTGCACTGAATTGCATGCATTTGATTGATAATCTAACTTATCTAAAGCCGAACGAGACAGCTGTGTTAAACGTAAGTCTTTGCTTAGTCCCAGTCACATGTGTGGGTGTGTTATCTGTTGCTACTGTCAGTGTGACAGAATATGTCAGACCAATCCCTATTGCTCCTAGCTCCTTGGCCTTGGTCTGTCGCTGGACATTGGTGGTAGACTCGCGTCACCAGTTAGCTGTCAGGGCCTGGGATTTATTGTGGAAGATAAGATCAACGTTTTTGATCCTCTGTGGAAATTTTGGATGCTGTGTCACGGACCCTTAACACGAAACAGAAGGGATGGTTATTGTTTTGCTTTGATTTTTATTTTTTTACGGTTTTTGCTTTGTTTTGTTTGGTTGGTTGGTTGTGGTTATTTTATT